CCCAATTGTGAAAACCTTCTATTGCCATGAAATACTTGAGCGAGGAACGAAGTCTCGGACTAAACGCAAAAGAGGAAGCTTCGTGATACGCGAAAAAGAGAAAGTACAGAAAACGCGTAATGACTAAAGATCACGTATGACTGCGCACAATATTTTGTAACGGTGAAGAAAATCAGAAGAAATCATGAAGAAGGACGAAGAAACATGATTTTTATTACTCATATCAAACTAAGGGTTAGCTCGTAGAGATAGTAGAAAAGTAACAGCAAAAATATAAAAAAAATAGCAAAAAGAATAATAACAAAAAATCGGGGACCGATGTCGTAATCATAAAAAAATGTATCAAACTCGATTTCGTCGGCTTCAATGACGAGGAAAACGACGATAATTGCCTTCTGTTCATAGGACGATTACGAAACCGATCCCTCGCTGTGTACCATCGAGAAACACAAAAAATATGTATTGCATACTATCAGGGAAGTGTTCTCTAAGTGCTTATTAAGTATGTATGTATATCACCTCGCATACTCGACGACTGAATCGATTTATAGAATACGGTGACTTAAGAAAACGTATGAAAGGCAGCATGACCGCTTCGGCAGCTTTCATTGTCCTTGCAAGGACAACCTCGTCCTTACCGATCGAGGTCAATATTGTCTTTCGACGATCGAAAACGAGCGATTCCTTTCCATTATCTGTGAAAATGAAGAGGAACAGAGGGAATAGAATGACGACGACGACGATATAGAAGAAGGAACGAAAAGCGTTGTTTTTCCTATTCTCTTCTTTTTTATCTCTTTACTTCGGTTCGCACTCGTGTAGGTCCGACATGACGAGTAAAAATGGAGGTACAACAATCATACACACAATGCGCAAAATACGCAAGTATACAACACAGGGCGGTTGGACGATCCGACGGGAACGATTGTCTCGTGGATAGGTGTATAATGTAACCCGTGACTCTTTTTATTGATGACGACTGCATTGCCCCCCCTGACAAAGGCTTGTATATTCATTATATAGTTGTATTTGCGATTATTACGTATGCATATATATAGTATATATATACAAAGGCAAATGGATGTGGATAGAGAGAAGAATTTAAATATTGTTGGCGAAGAATGATGAGCGTGATGAACGACCGCGTGGAACATTATCGATAACGGAAGAAAACGATTTAAATCGATTTATAAACGATTATAAATGGAAGAAGTGATGTGTCGTATATCCCTTTCCGAATACCCGAACAATTACGAGATACACGGCAGGGGGAAAGCAAGAAACAAGATCCATTCTTTCATCCTCTGTTGATTATATTCCAATTCGCTTCCTTTTTCTCGTCAAACTCCTCGTTTCTTCTTCCGCTAATTATTGCAATTACTATTACTATTATTGCTATTACGATAACTATTATTATTACCATTCATTATTATTATTAATGTTATTACGTACATATGTTAACCTTTCGATTGAGTTATCTTCGAGTTTTACATTGGGACGTGCAATGTTGCGGCATTTTGAAATCAGTGTTCAGTTCCGAGTGCAAATAACCCGTTGAGAGGAAAAATTGCGTCTTCTGTAAGAGGGGAACATTTTTCTTTCAAACGTCAAGTGCATGAGACACGCTAAAAATGAAAAATTATCAATGATTAATTGGCAAGTCGTATCGACGTCAGTAGCTGAAATCCTGACATCGTACAGTGAACTTCATATTCAATAATGTAATTAAACAACACGAAACATTCGGCACATGTAAGTTCATCGAAAGTGTAAAACGAGTATCGATTATTTGAACTGTTTGGCCGATTGTTTGCATCCTGTAAACGTATTGCAGACACCTAAATCGAGTAGTTGTTCATTGAATCATATCATTCGAATGGTGCAAGCAGGTGTTTTAATCAAAAAGTATAACAGTCTAGAAAACGCTCGTGTGATTGTTGCCTTATGCGAGCGTGTATATATTATCTCTGCAATACAATGTTCCGTAATAGCTATGGCTGTTCGGGATACGTCGCACGAAGTCATTATCATGTATATGTAAATTCTCTAGTTGCTTCGATTAATATTCTCTTCCATGAATTCTTGAATACAACAATTTTTGTTGAAAATACTAAAAAAGAAAATATGTTAGTAACGATGTTAAGGTTATGTCTTCAGCTACTACCGAGATACATATTTACACATAAACGAATTCAATGTCTAATGTCTAATTAATACGTAAAATAATATGTGTTTAGCACAATTGAGTTCGATATTGGTAGATATTCCCCGTAAATAGAATCGTGTAGCATCGCTGTAATGTGCGGAGTAAAGCGATCTCTCGTGTGTCCAAGAATTGAAACGTGCCTGGTAAGTGGTAAGATGATCATAAGTCGTCGACGAAGCATGCAGCTTATAGTGTAGTAGTTGGTAGTAGCAACGAATACGGTGTATCGGTGGAAAAAGAGCGAAAACTAGAGAGGAAGAAAGAGAAAGAGGAAGTGCGATAGAACTTGAGAAAGAAAAAGAGAGCGAAAGGCAGAGAGATCCCTTTCCTATGGTGGACTCTCCAGTTCGTTATTATCGGCGAGTGACGCACACAGAACCGAGACACCATTGCGCGAAACAACTTCCTCCACTTCCTGCTACGATTCTGTTTCACGCGTACTTCCGGCCGTTTCCCCCGCATGCTTCTTTCTGTTTTACTTGACAGCAAAAGAAGAAGAAAAGTAAGAATCATGCGTGTTAAATAAAATACGCGTGGAAATATCGAACGAGAATAAAATGAAAGAAACCAGAATGTCACTCAAAACGTGAAAAAACGGAAAAGAAGTAAGAGAAGATGACGATGAGAGAACTTGCGAGCGTAATAGAGATATGATTGACGCATAAAAAGAATGATGATGTTCTTTTTGCCGAATGAAGAGAAAGAGAGCGAGTATGTCAACAAATTTCAATATATATATATATATATAATTATATATATAATTATATATACATATATAAGTATATATATATAATTATATATTATATATAAGTATATATATAATTATATATATACATATATAATTATATATTATATATGTATTATGGTACATTGTGTTTTTTTCTTGATGACGACTACTGCTTAACGATTTATTGATTACGACGACGATTATGGTGACAACTATATGAGAGAATGTAGACGGAGTATGTATAAAATGTATTTTAAGAGTGGACAAAACAAATATCAATTTACACTTACAATTTACAGTAACGAATAACAATACTGATGTGGGTTGTGCATAAGGAAACAAAAGAAAAACAAAAAGGAAAAAAAAGTTGAAAAGCGTATCGTAACACGGCGAATGGAGAATCGGATCGACTCAACGATCGAATCGCGCACGTGATTGCGCGTAGAAAACGAGTTTTCGTCCCGGTGCGGATTCATCTCTTTCCTGCTTGTTCTTTTTTGTTCTGTTTTGTCGCGTTCTGCGTGCATACTTAAATCATCCTGTTCTCACTTAAGTCAACCGTATTCCATTGTATCCGACAAACTTGCGTAACATTGTGTTAAAATCTGTTCATTTCTTTGTTGAGATTTGGTGAGAACAGGCAAGCGAAATTGTACGATTTCTAATTGATAAATGTGTTTTGTATCGAATAGTAATCATTTCTTCACATGTGTTTATTTCACAATTTGTTATTAATTTGCATCTATTAAAAGAATGATGGAATAAAAAGAAAAAAGACACGCAGGGAAAAGTGGAAGAAAAAGGAACGTGCAGGTGAATAGGCGTTAGCAAATTAAAACAGGAGTGCCAAATCATCCGTGACTTCCGTCCCACTTGGGCAATAATAAGTACAGCAACTTGGCGAGAAAGCAAATGTTTGCCATTTGTCCTCCAATAATCGTAAGAATTCTTAATCTGTCCGCTGTATCGATTCTTTTTTTCATATTGTGCTCGAGAAATGGTCACTACATTCGTTATTTTCGCTAAGATATATTCATGGCCGAAAATATCGTGACGATATATGTATTAGTAGAAGACGAACGAGCAAATGTCATCGAGTTAAGTCATCGAAAAAGAAAAAGAAATGAAAAATCGATCCGAAACTACGGTTTTACGATAAAGGTTATTGCTCTCGAGCGATCGATGTAAATAATCGATCTGGATAAAGTAATTTCGACACTCGCTATTAGTGCCTGTCGTTTCGTCGATAATCCGAATAGAGGTTCATTTCGTCATTAATGTCGAGAAACCTCAAGTTCCATTCGTCGAACTGACAAAAAATGAGCTCGTATTCGATTCTCCATTTACTATGAACGCTCTTTATTAAAAAATACAACGGCCGTGATTCATTTTGGCGGCTAATTAAGCAAAAAAAAAACTAAAAAAACAAAAAAATATTTATTCAAACGACTTGCCAGTTTCGTTGCACAGTATACACGAAGTAGATTCGAGCATACAAAAAAAAGTAAATAAATAAATCAATAATAACGGAAAGAGATCTATAGATTATGGATTAAATGAATGAGTTGCATAGTTATTTGAGATGTTTTACGAAATATCGATGTATATATTTTAAGTTTGTATTATAATGCCCCCACTTAATTTGTATGAAATGGAGAATTTCAAACATTAAAATGATGACAAAAAATATATTTGTGTTTCCTTTTCTATTTTTTCTTAGTTCTTATATTCTTTCGCCGTTGAACGTCCTGCATCACTCGAAATTCCTTACAAACTTCTTTTGCACGAGTTTCATTGTACGTTAAGAGGAGTTGTATAAACATAACATAGATGAATAAGTTTATATCTTTATTTCGCTTTATCTTAATCTTACATTATATGTACATAATCTGATTTAATAATCAAAAATGTTTTTCATCGAAACGTAAGTATAAGCGTAACCTTTTATTGACAACTATTCAACTATTTAAGATCGTGTCACAAAATTATGCTCACTTTGTGAAAATCGTTAACTCATTTTTATACGGATGTCTCTTCAGCAATATCCAATGGGAAAACTTCAAGTATCAGAAAGAATAGAATCAACGTCTGTTCTTGTTCTAGTTAAACTCAACAAAGTACTACAGTTTGCAGCTGACGACTGCGACGATTAGGTAGAAGGTTTATGCGCAGTGCAGTATCACATGTCAATGCTCGCTGCGCATGTACTTACCGGTGAAAAAGTCATGGCAGGTGTTTCGGCTGGTTCTTGTTGTTGACTATTTCTTATATTTAGATAACAGGTTACTTAGAACTTTCTCGAAGGACAATGATAACGCGTATGTTACATAATTTAAAAAACTTATTTTAAGTAACCGATTGCCAAAGTCATTGTAAATTATGTCGAACACACGGGAAGCAGAGGTAAGCATTTGTAAGTTTCATATCTATATTTTAGTATTTACACTTTTTATTTGGTGACTACATAATTGTATTTATTGCAAGATTTTATGATCTAAATTGATACAAAATGTCGTATTAATGATATTATGTTGTGTGAAAGAATTTAAAGTTAACATTGCAGTGATTCACTTATTACATTATCTCAATTTCATTGAAGGTACAAATCTTTAAGGAACGCGGAAACGCGTGTGTGAAAGAACAAAAATATGAAGAGGCTATGTTTCATTACACTCATGCCATTAAACTAGACCCAAAAAATTACTCCTTGTATAGTAATCGATCATTTGCATTTTTAAAATTACAACAATATCATTTTGCAATGGAAGATGCATTAATGACAATTCAATTAAAACCTGATTGGACCAAGGTACAGGAGTGCTTTTTATAAAACACTTCAATAAGTATATTATAACATAAGTATATCCAAAATTTTTGTAGGGTTATTTTAGAAAGGCTGAAGTAGAGTCACAAACCTTCCGCTTCAGTGAAGCACTTCAATCTTACAATAAAGCTTTATCCTTTCAACCAAATGAACCAACGATTTTAGAAGCAATGAGCAGAGTAACACAATTATTAATTAAAGACAAACGAGGTATAGCATTCAAGATATTCAGATAATTATAATGAAAATGTCTCATATGAGGTTTTAATATGGTAAATTATTTTGTAGCTGATCAACAAATACCCTGGCTTGGTGCTGGTGTTGGTATCATACTTGGAGTAATAGTTGTAATTGCTGATTATGTTTTTACAAATAAACCCACATTAACGGTATATGTATCAGTTTAATATTCTTAGAAATCAATGTTAAGATGAATGCTTATAATGGTTATTTCATTCTTTTTCATTGGATGCAGCATCCTCTTTTGATGGCCTTATTAACGATGTCTATAGCAATGCTAGGTTTTGGCATTGCAAAGGGATTCCGTTATTTTGTAAAGTGTCAAAGAAAATCACTTTTGGAACCTCCAACGGATCTCTTTGGTGGTAATAAAGAAGAATTTGATGATGTTGAAGCAGAAATGAATAACGAGAAGGAAAAACATTCAAAATATAGTAAAGCACAAGCACGACAAAGATTCAGGAAAGGAAAATCGTAGTGTGCTTTGATAATAATAATATTAATAATGACTTACATACATTTTTATGTAAATTTTAAATTTATACACATTTTAGCATCTCAAGAATGCACTGAATGTTTATGATCAATGTTATTGCATTGACAGAAGGTTTTATTGGTACTGTTTACATTTTATACTTCAGTTACCGTTAAACGATTTTAAAGTATTGAGAACATGTGCCAGAATTTCTATATTTCCCCATATTTTATGTTTAGAAATTCTTATATAGAGCAACATTTCCTAATTAATAATCGAGTCCATGTATTACAAATATATTATTTTAATCCTTTTGAGATGTATCACAAGAAATAAGGCTGCAATGATAATATAATAATTGGTAAGTTATGTAGTACAAATAATTCTAAATTTCAAATCATAAGAAGATCTTTAATCGTTATATAAATTATATCGATATTTAAAAATATGAAATGTTTCAATTTTGATAAATATTGACGAAAAGTAATTTATGCCATTTATACTTTGTCACAGTCATATCGTAGGATCAAATAATTTAAACACATCACCTTTATCTGATTCATACAACGAATATCTTATTCTTAATATAAAGAGTAATTATTGACACTCAACTTTTTGCACTATTTGTCACAATAAACGTAAGAAATATTCTAACTAAATATAATCAATTGCATAACAACTGTTTAATTTCTTGTTTCATATAATAACCAATGAAAATTCAGAATTTCTTAATATATGCATTTAATATATACATATACAATGAACCATATTATTTAAATTTTAAACATTAAATATATTGCATACTAAGTCTCTATCACAAGTATGAATGTGCATAAGTTAAAACACAATTAATATTAAATTTCCCAAATACACTTCTATAGAATTGTCTCTTATTCTTCTTATACTTCTATAGAATATCTCTTTTATTTTAATGATTTTAGTAATTCAATACTGTTGCTAAGTATCCAAGAATTTTTGATATAGATATGACTTATAGTAAGCTTAATCTCATTAAGTTACTTCGTGAGAACTATTTATGTGCATAGATTATATATATAGATAGGAAAACGTGAATATTTAATAGTAACATTTAGAAGCAGAAATATTAGATTCAGGAATTTCATGTAATTATTTGATGTGCTTCTATTATTCTTTAAAGTCGATTAGATTAAATTATTGAAATCTATCGAATTTTTTCGCAAACTAAGCTATTATTATGTGACAATTACACTATATTATAACCCTTTGTAAATTGACCACTTTCCCGTACATCATTTTAAAATTAATCGGCTGAAATATGTATGCATATTGTCATTAATATCGTATTTCACCTCCATAAAAACATGTAATTAGCAATTATACATAATAATGATAATTTTTTATTTAATCGCAATACATATACTATACTCAGTTCGGTAAGCATCATTATATTATTCTTCCATGTATAACCCGTTATGCGATGAATTATATTAATTCCAATGTAACGAATCAATATCGTAGCAAATGCATGGCTGAATCTCTTGTAAATTAATTATTAACATTATTTATATATTATTCAACTACGAATATAATGAGAATACATTTTCATGTACATTAAACCCACAAAATTTTTGACATTCCATACAAAAATGAAAAAATAGAAAAAAGAATTTTTATATTAAATATAATAAATACATCATATATATATTTAACAATTCATATTGTATAAAAATTATCATATGAATTCTTTAAATATAAAATTGTTATATGCGAAATACAAAGAATACATACATATATGTATGTACAATATGTATCTGTCCTTAATGAAAGATGTTAGTGATACTAACACGTTTTTCTCAACCGCATTGGCTGTGCGCCAGGTGCTTCGAACTCAGTTATCCGTAGATCACTGAGAGCTCATTAAGCAAATTCAAATGTACAAGCTGTTACTTACTAAGTACGTACATATTCTTTCGAATTGTTTACGATTGATAGATATACAACAACGAACATAGATATATAATAGTTCTGTTAGCATAAAATATTTGAATGAATTATAGAACATTGCGCCTCGGACTATTAGCACATGTTATCTTTTCTTGAGTAAATATTAAATTTGCTTATACGTTTATATGCAATTGTAAGAAGTAATAAATATAACAGCGCGATAGATCACCGTAAGAAAGTTAATGAGATAGATCAAAGTTTATGATGCCTACATAATCTGTAAATTTTCGTTGAAAAAATAATATTAATATATCAAGCAGTAGGTTTTTATAGAATATTAAAAAATCAATAACTTTGTTATAGAATAACGTTCTTTTATTTCTTAAAACGTTTAATCTATTTTTAACTTCTTATGACGTGTGAAACGATATAATTACTTAAACAAATCGTAAATTTTACTAATGAAATTGAGATAAATTATTTTACTATATTTTGGGTATGTTTCCCTCTTTTGTGTCTCCATCTTATATACGATCCTGATGACAGACTATTCACGGTACTCTCTTATGCGCATGCGTTCATTGACGTTTACAAGTAAGTAAGCAAGCATTGTACAATCGTAAAATGTTCAGCAGGGCTATTCCTCTTGGAACCTTCGAAGGGTATACATCTGAGTGTTTGATTAATAATATATAAAACCAAGCATTTTTTTATCAAGTTTGTAAAAAGACTGATAATATACACTTTTTTATTTCGCTGTTTATTTTGTATTACAATAAAAATATTAGTAAAATACGAGATATGAAAGTAATATACATAGTTGAATCATAGTTGAGTAAATTAAAAATTAAACCAAGATATAATAGTACGCAATTTGAATAAAACCGTTTTTCTCTAATAAAATTTTCGTTGCAACAATCATTTCAATGTCGAATAGAAAGTTTAAAAATCTCGTACATTAATATCTGTATTCCTAATTAACTTTTATTACGATCCAACGCAACGAATTAACATATGTTGTTCAAATACTAAATTAAAGCGACAAAAATCGAATACCATAACTCTGTTCTAATTTTATTTATTAATATCTATGAACTCGAAGCAACAGAGTTTCTACATCTGTACAAACTTAACAAGCTAGAGATGACCTCGAGTCGAATCATAACCAAATAACGCAAAAAGTAATCGTAATAGGAAATGAAAATGAGTATGCATACGCATATGTGTATTAGAAGAAGAAAGAGAAAGGAAAATGGGGTTATAGCACCACGGATACCTGGAGGAAAGCCTTATACATCGTAATGGAATGTCAGGTCCGTGGCTCCTGCACTTATTGGGGGTTAGGTTGACGTTGCACGAACGTATTGATGCGCAGAAATTCTATATACCCAGAGGATGTGTTTAATATATACGATTATAACTAATGCGCAAAATTCAAAGGTATCGCGTGACGTTTGGGTAACCACAAAATGACAAGAATTCGGAAAAGAACGTAAAGACGTTCACTAAATAACACGAGGAAACGAAGAGCGGGAAGCGTGGCCAGGGCACCCGATGCGATTAGTCGAGTACCTCTTCGTGCGTACAGATACGCGCATGCGCAGGCACAAACCGCAGGGATGTATCTACGATAAAGTAAATGGTAGACTTAAGCGTCACCAATGTGAACAATTTTCATAATTTTTGGTGTAATTCTTCCTATGAACTATGTTGTTTAAATATATATCTTTCTATTTTTTAAAATATATGAATTTTTAAAGAAAGTTATATACATTCATTTACAAAATTTAATTTTTGGTAGTTTCCAATGTTATAACAATGATTGAGTTATTTTTATAAAGTTCTACGTAATTTGAAGTCAAGATGCCGATGACCTCGTGGTACCATTCTCACTTCCTACAAATTTATTATTGATTTCATTTTAACGACGTGTTATTATATTTTACTTAGTCTTTAAAGTTAGATACTGTAACAGTTGCGTATACGTGTATGTACGTGTATCTTCTATTGTATGTCTTATTGTTGACCTGAAACTTTCAAATGCATGCAGCGGTTTACTAGAATTCATTAATATTTGTATTTCGTAACTTAACGATTCAAGTTGCAAAGAACTTTTATTATTTTTCACTTGATTGTAATGCTATTGTAACGCAAAGTGATATGTGCATATTAATGCATTGTACGTTACATCTGTTCCAATAACAATAAACATCAGTGTGTCTTTGCGTAATGAAGTATTTGCAATACAATTGTATGAATATATGCGTACATACAGTTCTATAGTCTGTACAAGAAAAAAATAATCAATACACGATCGTGTGACACCTGAAACGAACCGTTTAAACGCGGGAAGACTAAACCCTTTTGCACGAAGTTTGGCATAGTGAGTACACTGCTTCGAAGGTTCAGAGACACTTTGAGGTGACCGTCCTCTGGATGCGCGCCTTTAATAAATACGTTCCTGTTAGCCGCACTACTTTTCTACGGTATCCCCACCAATATCCATCAGTGTATACGGATTGGTAGGTTGCGATTGGTAAGCAAGTGATTGGTGTTAGTAGTGGGGAGCGATCACGTCACGAAGCGAGGCCGAAAAGAGACGAGGCGCATGTATCAATGCGCAATCGCATCGGGACAGTTCAGGGAGTCGGGGAGGTCCGTGGTAAGGAATAAACAGAGTGAAGAGACCGCGCGAGAGACGAAGAGTGGGGAAGGTGGAAGAGAGAGAGAGAGAGAGAGAGAAAGATAGAGAGCGAACAGGCAGTGAGACGATCACGATGCACGGAGGCAAGCACAAGCGGCCAGGGGCACAGGGCTGAGGGCTGAGGGCTCGACAGGGCCTAGAATAACGTTCACGGGACGGCCGTGGGCCAGTCAGCAGCTATGGAACAGACGAAAACTCTCGCGTCCCGGCTACTCAGCACAAGTTGCATAGAGAATAAGGACGACTTGGAAGAGGTAACATAAATATTTTAAATAGTCACTGGATACGTATCGGGTGCTAGGGGTTCCGCCATTGTTGCGACGGTCGCGCACGTCGCTGACCGCGCGGCGCCACACGTCGTACCACGCGTCTTAGCGGCAATATTTGAATCATTTGCATAATTCTAATGTTCACTTTTCTTGATTATTGATGGAAAATTGAATATTAATGAATAATTTAATTGAATATTAATCGCTAAAATCCAATAAAAAATATAATGAATGATACATATTATCAAATTTGCCAACTTAATACTGGAATTAAAATACTTTTAATGTTTTCTCAATATTAATAATTTTATTTAATATTTTATAGTCTGTTAGTACGGAACTTTAAATATGTTACACTTTTTATATCTTTTTACATTTATTTATGCTACATTTTTAAAATATTTTATTGTTACAAGATATTAAAAACTTGTTTTCTATTTTCAGAAATTCGAGAGATGTTATACAGTGCTCCAAAACCTGACTGCAGGGCTATCTGAAAAAGAAGCTCATGATACGTTAAATAATGCTGTATGTAAGGATAAGACACATGAAGAAGTTTCATTAGGATTGTTGGTAGTCATTTTGACAGATCCTCAAAATGCTCCAAAAAGTTACAGAGACTTGACATTAATTACACGAGATGGTCTTGCAATTGTGTTAGTACATCTTAATCAATTAGTACTTGAAAGATACCTACGATTGAACGATGTGACTAGAAGTCAGTTATTATGGCTGTTAAGGGAGATGATAAGAACCAGTGTAGCTAGTGTGGATAACCTTTGTTTAAGTTTATTAAGGCATGCAGCTGGTGGTGATATTTCACCACGGAATTTGTTTTTAGTTGATGCACTTTTAGATATTTTTCAAGAAAATCGAACTTGGCTGGATAAATTCCCTTTTCTAGTAGCATCCATTGTTTATACCTATTTACGATTAATAGAAGATCATAATGCACCACATTTATCTGGTTTACGTCAAAAAGAAGTTACATTTACTGTATCTTTAATAAGAGAACGTATGGTTGATTGTTTGGTTATTGGAAGGTAAATGAAGTGAAATATTTTTATCTATATTTATAATGCAAGCCAGACTGTAATAAACAAAATAATTAATGTTTGTATAATTGTGATAATTAATGTTTGTAGAGATTTAGTACGCCTATTACAAAATGTGGCACGGATACCTGAATTTGAGGCACTTTGGAAAGACATACTTCTCAATCCAAAGTCTCTTTGTCCAAATTTCAGTGGTGTCCTTCAACTTTTACAAACTAGGACTTCTAGAAGGTTTCTCCAATCTAGACTTACACCAGATATGGAAAGGAAATTAGTATTTTTAACCAGTCAAGTCCGTTTTGGTAATCATAAACGATACCAAGATTGGTTTCAAAGGCAGTACCTGGCTACACCAGAATCACAATCTTTGAGATGTGACCTTATACGATTCATTGTTGGTGTTATTCATCCAACAAATGAGCTATTATGTTCAGATATTATACCTCGATGGGCAGTAATAGGATGGTTATTTACAACTTGTACATCAACTGTAGCTGCAAGTAATGCTAAACTGGCTTTATTTTATGATTGGTTGTTTTTTGAACCTGAGAAGGATAACATAATGAACATTGAACCTGCAATCCTTGTCATGCACAATTCCATGAGATCGCATCCACCGGTCACTGCCACATTGTTAGACTTTTTATGCAGAGTAAGTGATAATGTAAATCTCAACACTTCATTACGGTTTTAAAATTTACATAATTTTTGTTTACAGATAATACCAAATTTCTATCCACCTTTAACCGAAAAAGTGAGAAATGGGATCTTTTTGTCGTTGCGACAAATTTTGGAGAAACGGGTCTTGCCGAGTCTTTATCCATTGTTTGATAGTCCCAAGTTAGATCGTGAATTAAGAAGCAAGATAAGAGAAACATTCAAAGAATTCTGTTTACCACCTAATGCAGATCCTGGTAAAATTATTACACAATATTGCATGTTTATTTTCTATAGACCATTCAAAATCAGAGCACTGAAAAAGCTTACCATTGCACATGTATAAACATGTATCTATTTATTTTTATGTATTCATCACATCATGCTATTTTTTATATAATGTACATATTTAGTTTTAAAAATATATGTCGGGTTTACATTAGGATTAGGGTTAGGAGTGTGAAACGAATCTCCACTTGGATTACACATTGTCGTTATGCAATAGAGAAGATATTGACTAGTGCAAATACGATTATCATAGAACTGGACAAGTAACCGTGGTAATTAGATACTCGAGAAACTAATGACAATGATCCTAGGTTCAACAAAATCTAAGTCGGGCGCGTAATATTCACTGATAGTAAGGGGTTACTCTTTTCGTCGATGAGATCTCGAGAGAGAATGAATTTCCATCTCGATGATGCCACAGAGGAAAACTATAATGGGGTATATCTAAGGACACGACATCATCGGATTCGTCGAGGATAGCCTTCGTTCAGAAAGTAAGGGAAATTGGCGTTGCTGCTAATTGATCAATCTCCATATCGGTGGTTAGAAAAAGATGCTATCCGCCCTCGAGGGAAAGTTGCTAGTGGGAGACGCCGCTCGTTGATAATAGATCTCCCCTATTTTTCCGTAGTTGGGACAAAGACTGTTTGTCTATTTGAAGAACTTTAGCTAGCTAAATCTTATGATTTATAACGGGCCCTCGGGCTAGCTGAACATGTACTGCGGGGACGCATCGACATCTGGCAATCATCTTACTCGAAGAATAGGGTCTGCGTATGGCTGGCCACGGGATAGAAACCGTTGGAATGTTTACTGTCGCGTGCCGCCACAAATATTTCTTTTAAGGAGAGCTATAGAATTACTCCATACCTTTGTTAGGCAAAGCGTTCATCCCGTGACTGACTGTCGCCTCGAGCCCAAGCTCACTATCATAAATCTGGAACAAATACAATCGGATTGAATGGCGACAATCGCTTAATTACGGCTATAATAGAATCTAGATTATGGTGTTCAGAGATTTTCCCGAAGTTTCAAAGGGAAGGCTCCGATGTCCTTTCATCCCCGACATATACATAGTATAAATATTGATGATATTCAAATGTACATATCAAATAGATATAAGCACAGAAAAATATTAGTATATGTATATTAATTTTGGGTTTATGTATCATGGTTTTAACAAATCTTTCTCTTTTAAACATCATTTAAAACTCATTTTCTGGTCTTTTCTTTTAATAAATTTTATTATTCACCTTTCCCTTAAGCTTATAGCACATTCATTGCTTACTAACTTTGGTTTTTGCATGATGTTTTTGAGCAGGAAATAAGGTTCCTGTATATTCAGGTAAAATGGAGGATTTTAATAAGGATGTTACACCAGGCGCTACACTGGAAAATGCAGCGAATACACCAGTTGAAAATAATCATCTAAATCAAGACTCAGAACCAGCTTTTAGTGATGAAGAAGACGAAGTGTCATTAAGGTTAATTCTGTTTTATATTTCTATCACATAGTACTTCAAATGTTTCAGCTTAAAAATATAGTTATATCACTAAAGGATATTTAACATTATAGGATAGTGACTAAAGTAGAGGAAGAAGATGAAGAAGATGTTCCATTAGCAAATGTGAAGTTGAAAAACGAACAAAAAAATGCAAATTGTATCGTGAAGAAAGAAGATATTACATCTCAGTTAAATTTAATTTTAGAACCAGAAGAGTTAAGGACTGCTGTAGAAAGTTTGCACAGTGAAACAGACAATGAAGTGAGATGTCAAACGATGGAGAGGATAGTACAAATGGTTGTAGAGGATGAAATAGATGCAGAAACTATACCAGCACTGGCTTCTTGCATATCAACGATCTTATCTTCACAAATTACATCTCAAATATTTCCATCAGATAATTTGAATGAAGAAGCCTTGACTGATAGTATAAGTACACCATTGTTTGTTATGTTTCGAAATCAGTTTCAGTTGTGTAAAGAAGAGGACAATAGGCGGAAGCTGCTAGCTCGGGTACTTGCAGAGATACAAAACGTTCAATCAAGAATAGGTTATCTGTTACTTTATTTTTTGAAAGTCTGGGGCAGAGAGGAAGAAAAACGGGAAGGCGAACCAAGGTTCGTAGTGGAATGCAAATTACACATAAGCAAATGAAAGTATGCTTTTTATTATATTATTTTTTATTGCAGTAATATGTTAAATGACGTTAAAGCATCTGTATATAAAGATTTTTGTGTACATCGAGAAAAAAAATTAGATGCGTGTTTAGTGTCAGATTTGAAGGTATGTAATTTTTAAAAGTTAAAAATTGTAATATCACAAACAATTGTAAAAATTGTAATTTGTTTTAATTTGCTTTATATATCCTTTTACTAGTCGTATATAATGTATCATTTTTTTATAGCTCTGCCATGAAGATAACATATTTATGCTGTGTTACCTTGTGCCTGATGTATACATGGGTTTTCAAAATGTGGCTCTTGGAAATGTTCAATTATTACATTTGGTTGTCTCGACCGTCGATGCATGCCAACTACAAGAATTGGTTTGTCAAATAATGCAAGGACACTTAAAGATGTTAAAGAAGGAATCGTTTACATCACTTTTGACAGCAAGTTTAAATTGGGAGACTTTTGAGCAATATTGTTTTTGGCAGCTTATTTTTGCCCATGATTTTCCAATTGACTATGTCTTACCTGTCTTACCCAAATTGCAATTTCGAGATCACGCAGAAGCATTAACATCGATATTGTTTATGCTTAAACAAGAAAAGTAAGTAAATCTGAAAGTAAAAGTAAGTAAAGATAAAAAATTTAATTCGATATTAATAACATCAATAATTGAATAGGCCAACGTTAGAACTTCTGCGACAATTGCTTGCACGGCAAAACGTGGATGGGGACATGTTTGTTGTAGCGGCTCTACGTTACTGGTGTCGCGATTACGAAGAAAAACTTAGTGAGTTACTTGCGAATCTTTTGAGTACTCGTTACCCTGCTACAAGTCCAAACAAGCGGAAACGATCTGGCCCTAAACATAATCAACAATCTGGTACACCCTCTGGCGAACAAGTTCTTGGTCATTTGGATCAATTACGACAGCATTGTATGTCGTCCGCTGAATTGCAGCTTTATCATTCTGAAGGAATGCAAAGAGCTCTACAACAAGCACAAGCAGCCAGTAGTGATTCTTTAAGAAAAAGTTATGGAGATTTATTTGCACTTGCGGAAGTTAATGAAGAAAATGAACCTCCTCCGCCCCCACCAACAAGCTCAGCACGAAAACATGCAGCAGCGTCGGCTGGAGGTGGCGGAGGTGCTGGTGGTAAAGGAGGTCATAGAAAAACTGGTGCTAATACGAGGGAAAGGTCCAGCTCAAAAAGGCCGCTTCCTCGGTATCATTTGGACAGTACATCTAGTAGTGAGGTAAATTTAAAAATAATCTACAGTAGCTATTTTTGATACTATTTAGATATTTGTATTTTTTATTAATTGAGTTCAATCGTGTTGCCGTAGGAGGAATCAATTGTGAATGTGAAACAAGCAAAGAAGAGAAAAAAAATTAATCCAGTGGGCTCCGATAGCGACTGACCACCCAGTGTCTTCAGATGTCACATGGACCACGTCACGTGTGTGCAGCAAGCTAAATTAGCCTTAAGAATAGTAAGATAATATAGTATACGTAATAGATTTATCTAGCGCGACTTGTATATATAGTATGTGGGAAGTGAATGCGAAACATACTGATTACAAGGATCTTGCACATACTTTGCAAACACTATATGCTAACAACGTTGCCAGATTCTGCATTTTCATGAATTTCATTACTTGTGTCAAACGCAATCTATCGAAAGATATTTAGGATATATGTGATATCTAACGAGAAAAAGATAAATTTATAAATACTGGTTATAGCTTTTCTAGGTAAATATGTATGACAGATTAACTTGCCATGGCAGATCGATACTCTGGGTGTTTTCTTCAGAGACAAAGGAATTTATCATGGTCTGTCAGATAAGGTTACCGAGAGGCAAAACTAGTCATAAATTAAATTATTTTGATACACTCTTAAACATACAAAAAATGTGAATTTAAGAGTTGAAAATTGAATCTGGCAATATTGTAGGAGATAAAGCGACATTAAGGTATTTCCTTATGTGATCACTTTATTTCTAAGAAAAGAAATGAAAATCCGTTACCTTCATATAATTTTGTGATCGATATCAAAGAATGCAGCACGATAGTGCTTACCAATTATTTGTTTATTGATTTTGCGATTAGTATAATTATTGATCCTATTGTCCAAATTTATTTCTTTTCTCTTTCATTACGCGATAACTATAGTAAGACTCGCGTCTCACACAATAGCTAACAAAAAAAAAAACATGGTTACTTTTTGTTGCCATAAACTGTGAACGCAATTTGTAAGAATCGTTGATAGGTTTTTATTAGGATTAAGGACCTTCTGCAGGAGAAGAATATATTGAGAATGTCTTACTCCAGCATGAAGCGTACAGTTTTACGACCAAATGTATTTTACGTCTGCGCTTAGTAAAAGCAACCTCAAGATGTAAATCATTCTCAAGACGTAAGAATTTTTATATTTTGCACGATGGAAGGTTGTCGATTTTTGCTATTAGATTGTTTTGATCTAAAGCAATGAATCTGTTTTTGTTGCTACTAAGTATTTTAATGCAAATGCACAAATTTCACGTTGATAGAAAAGAGAAAACAGAATGCACGACTTCTTTTTTTTGATCATAATATTTATGATATTTTTACATCCACGAGCTAGTAGTATTTATTACAGGTTTCTATTAATTTCTACGTGTATGTTTCAACTCTTATAAATTTGTTTATAATTTTGTAATGATCACAGTTTCTCTAATACTTTTGTGGATTGAATTTATTATTCTATCTAAAGTATATCAATTCAGTAATGAATTGGAAAGACACCTTCCAACGAGTATAGAACCAGGCGTCATGTACACTTAAGTCCTAAAAGGAACGTAAGCGTGAAATATCACCGTTCGCCTCCTGTACATTTCCTGTAAAATCGGTTACTTGTACACATATAAGTAGCTGTGTTATGTATTTTCTAGTTGTACATACCAGAGAGAACGGAATTTGTATGTGTATGTATGCATGTATGTGCGCGATGAATTTTTTCAAGAACCCGATAAAAAATTTTTTTCCATAATGAGAGTTTGTATTTCTGATGCTATGAAAATCGACCCATGAACATTCATATGGCGAACAAGATGAAAAACAGCCTTCTATGCCAGTACGAATGTCTTTTTATTTAATACGCGCGTAATGTACGTATCAACCATTAAAATGGCGTGTAAGGTGTGAAGTTGATATTGTTATTAGGTTTTTTCTACTTGTACATAAACTGCGACGTTATGTGAGAAAATATTTAAAAACGACGACGATTGAATGTAAAAGAGAATATATGAGAAGCATGAATGAGTAAGCGCGTGTATGCGCGAGAGAAGGAGAGAAAGAGAGACAAACACAGAAACACAGATAAGTAAAAGAAAAAAAACAAAAACAAAAAAAAAAAGAAATCGCGAAATTAATGATGCGCGGGGCAATATGAAAAATAAACCTGTAAACATTTAATGTTTTTTAACGACCTTGTACACATGGATACACATGTAAATACATGAATATATTATCGTAATGCGAGCATAAACATTTAATGTTTTTAACGATCTTGTATACATAGATATACGTAAATGTAAATACATCGAAAAATTACCGGAAGTAAACCTGTGATTCCTATCGTTTGTTTCCTCTTTCTCTGGATTTTTCCCTTCCTCTCTATTTTAATTCTTTTTCAGCGGCGAACGAATAATCGGGTTTCAAGATTGTATTTGTCATAGTACTGTTCTTTTTTTATAGATACCTGTATACATAATGCGAACAATATGAGATAACCACAAAACAACGTAATTATGCGCAAATTGTGTAACAAACAAATGGATGTTAAAAAATTTTAAACTTGTTTGTAATATATGTACAATTTTTTACCAAAATAGTGACAAATTAAAGAAAGATAACAAGATATTTTGTCTCTCTCTCTCTCTCTCTCTTTCCCTCTCCCTGTAGGATTAAATCCTGCTACATCATACTACATAGTATCGACAAATCGTGCATCAAGTGCATTTGATTAAAATTGCACGATTAATAGTAAAACACCATTTATGTTACTATCCTCCGCGTAACTACTAAATTAAAGAGAGAGAACCGCTCGTACCAACTTGTTAAGGCTAATACTGAATTAATACGGCTAAAATGCAATGGTATCACAAACAGTATTTAGTGGAAACACCTATGATTCGATGAAATACGTTTCTTCTATTATTTGCCATTTACTAATCACGCATTATTTTATCCAATTTGGCACGTGGCGTAACACAAATTTACTTCGTTGACACATCGAAGAGCCATAGAATAATTCACTATGTGGTGAAAACGAATTTATTTCATGGGTTAGTATTTTTATTCTGTTGTCATACTGAAAGAGGAAGGTGCAATTGTCTTGATGCGAAATAACAAATAAAAGTATAATACGTATTGAATTTTCGTATTATTACAGCTAAAGAGGAAAAATGGAATAGATTTTCTTAATTTTTTCCAAAAGACACTTTTTAAGATGCGTCATTTTTACTTGATACGTACTTTCCGCTATACATGTACATATACATCCATTTGGATTGTGTACACTTCTCATTCGAATGTTTCTTTCCTTTCACATGTGTGTATGCGTATTGCGTGTACCGTGATTACAAAATCATCATTCACCGTTATATCGCAGGTAAGATAGAAATGACATAATTACTTACTATCTTTTACGTACACACGTGCACACGTACATATCTTCCAACGAAAACCTTGTTGCATGGAAAAAGCGTATAGAAAGCGTATTTTTAAACGACAACCTAACATTATCAGCGTATAGCTGAAAAATAACGGATCTTTCTATTGATCGATAGATTCGTTTCAACTAATTCATAATACAGATCTGTCCTGCTATCAATGATCTTAATCGTATATACTCGAAAAATTTGAACAAAAAGAAAATAAAATAAGATTAACAATTTTCGTTAGACGACATTTTCAAGCGGTATTCGTGCATATTGCATAATGATCATGGTCGCATAAGATTTATCTGTACATCTCTTTACCTGTTATCTTTTTTTTTATCGCTAATTAAACATTTAGGCAAGGGATTCTTTATCGGCACGTAATCGACTCAGTTAAATCGTTCATATAAAAAGTAACCCCATAACTACTTTATTCCATTAAGGTCATGTGCAGATATTTTTCAAGAACGATTACTTTCAAAATACTTTTTGTCATATTTATACTTATATCTTTTATAATCCTGTATTCTTTTATGTTATAACTTTTACAGGGACGACTTAAATGTTTCAATTACGTTTATCTTATTGCATGCTAATTTTTACAAGATCCATCAATTAGGGCAGATGCCACCTGTTGCCCACTATTCATCACTAAAAATTGATCGATTTAATTTAAGTTTGGTCTACGGAACTAATATTTAGTCCAAATACAGAAATAGTTTCGCCTCGTTTGTGCATATGATTGTACTTTACAGAGATGTATGTATACTTAAATGTTGAGCTGTCGAATGACTCAATCAATTAGTAATGAATTAAAATCGTCGATCGGAATATAGAGGGATTTTGTACAAGGTTCCGTTTATTATTCATATGCACATACGCGCACAATCGCATGGCGGTTTGATTGATTACGCGTTAGTATGCTTATCAATAACAGAGATGACTGTAACAAATGCTATATTCTTAGTAGGGAGCTAATGCATCATTCTCTTCACAGTTGATTAAACGGTTGGTTCGTAAAATGCAAAATTTCTCTATAGCGATGTCTTTTTCAAGTAGTTCAAAACGATTTGAAAGAAATATAGTTAAAACAAAATAGAATCGAGAACAAATTTTGAGAAACACTAAAAATATATTAACGTTGTGTCAATAACACTGTAGTAACATCGTGCATCTTGTTGTTGCTACTTGTATAGTTAATACAATTTTCAAGGATTAAATATATTTCAAGTGTGTACAATAAAAGATTAACTTTGGTTGCATATTTTGAAATGCGATAGACGTATAGTGAAATAATTTATGATACGATCGAATGATTTGTTGGCACAAGAGACGTGACAGGACATGTTTTAACGCACTTATAACGTGTTTGGTCACGTGCTGCGCAGCGTAGATGCGCATAAATCAAAACGTTCAAACATTGTTTATAACAGATTAATTTCGCTTACTTACTTTATTAAGAAAATCATTATTTTTAATTAAGCGATTAAATAATAATGCCATTACTATTACATAAAATAAAATAATACAATTATTATTATTGAAGTAAATAATAATAGTATTATTATTAAATGCAATAGTTTAATAAAAAAAAAATGCAATATTTAATTAAAAATAATTATTTGGATTTGACGACTTAACAACGAATAAGATACGAATAAAATATTAAAACATTTACGCTAGAAAAATTAAAGTTTATATTCCACGACATTTCTATATTAGAACACCTTTCTAATTTGTATGATCGAATCAACCGTTTCTTTCTAGCTGATTCTTCATGCTTACAAATCATTCGAGCTTAATGTGCAATAATGTGCATAGACTCGTTGATTTTGATCAGGTTGTAAAGTATTAAGCAATTACTTACCCATGGATGTAAAAATATTCGCTGAAAAAGATTCGGATAATTATTTACGCAAGCTTTCTTTAACAGAAAAGGCAATCGTTTTTTATCGATATATTTAAAATTAATTAATGATCATGGTTGATCAGAATGTAGAGAATACACAACACTGCTCCCATGGTACAAGTCTCGTGTTTACTTTCCTTTCCTTTTTTTACGGAGAAACGGCACGATCATCCTTCGTCAGTGACTTCAGAACGAATGTTACCAGTCGTTGCTTTGATAGTTTGGATGATGCACGAATATTCGAACGACCAAATCCTCTCGTGACTATAGTGTTCCAACGAAACGAACAATTTTATACGAAATAAATAAATTCGATGTATATTTATCATTCACCTGTCTTCGTTTTTTCTTGTTCACGACAGCATAACGTATTAATCGACTATACTTTGTTTGTAGTCTATAGCGAAACGCATTATCCAAGGTATGTAACGATAATGGTACGACCAGCGATTTTCTCGAAACGATTGCACATGTATATCATAGATATACATGTATACATCGGTATACAGCAATAATATTCGTCGACTCGTTATCGTGGTCGTAGACATGTTAAAGGGACAGCGATTGCAAAAGTTGTAAAAGTTTTGAAGAAAATTACAATAGGCGAGAACAAGTATAATTTTTTGTTAGACAGGCTCCGACTGTTCGTTCTTCACGTGTTTTATCTGTCGTATGATGTCATCTTGTGCATGTTGATTCTATAATTAGGTACTTAATACGAAACCGTATCTAGCATCACCATTTGCAAGGCTCTCCTGGTCACTTAACGCGCATGCAAAATCGCTTGGTAACGTCCCATTAACACGTTCTCGTTGTATACACGCGACAAAGAAAGTTCTCTCTACGTTTAAATCACACGGTCGTACGTACAGTTGGGTCACGCACACGCAACTCCTAAATATACATGTACAGCTTTTTCCTCTGGCACACACGTTGGTTTCTCGACCGTCGTCATAATTAGCATTAGTTCTTTTCCTCCGTTTTCTTTTTTTTTTTTTTGTTTACTCTTCTTATCACTATTTGTCTCTCTCTCTCTCTCTCTCTTTCTTCTGTTCTTTCTTCTATGCTTTGTTCCTTTCGAACGCGGTTTCTATCGTTAATACAGACTTGTTATGTATATATACACAATATAGTAACAGTCTATGTTCCTAAGGCTGCTAAAAAGTCTCACTTGTAGGATCTCCCCCGCGAAAAGGGAGAGCGTGTTATAGAGTTCAGGTTTCGACCAAGGGAGGAAAGCGTGAAACGTCTTTACCGTGCACGTCTAGTAAATCACTTCGTATACAGTGGCCTTTTTGTCACCGGATCCAGTCACGATATATTTGTCGTCGGCAGAGATGTCGCAGCTCAACACCGACGAAGACTCCTTCGACTGTAAAAAGAATTGATATGGATTCCCATGTGGTTGTTCGGAGATCTGCTTTTTTGTGCTACTTGCACGCAACATGACGCGTTAATTACGTCCAACGATA